TTATTTCCAACAATTGTCTCTGGCTGAATAAAAATTTACTTCAAATGGAAGAAAATCAATCTTTTGATGACCCTGGCCCTTCAAGATGATTTTTTTTTCAGAATTGTCCAACTCCCAAAAAAATAAGAGATCAAAAGTATATATTGCCAAGGAATTAATTTATAATATCTTACAGAAAAAAACATGTTTTTTTATTCACATAATGCTGCAAATATTGCATTATTGATTTTAATTAATGGCAAAGATTAAAAATCAATTTATTTCTAGGAATTAGAGATTCTTACATCACACCTCTGAAGTTCTGGCATATGCTACAGTTTCTAATTTAAGGAAGGAACATAAAAATGAGACGGCAAAAGAAGTCAGAATATTAATGTCAATCGGATAGTGAAGAGGAACTAGAAGAAAGTGGTGGTGAATCATGTCATGAACAAAATGAGTTTGAAGACTCTATTTAAGGTATATTGCAATTTATGTTTTTTCTTTAATTTAGACCAGTTAATCTAATGGGTATTCTTTTTTTGACTAGGTTCGAAGCATTTTTCAAACCATAATTTTTGAATAAAATTCATAGAAAATCCCCATTTGTTATTATTTTTATACTAAACAAACATAGTCCGAAATATATTTTGTTTATTCCTTGGACTATCTTTGTCATGTTAATAAATCCGCCATTAAACCTACTAAATCTTGAATTTGTAATAAAATTAAAAATATCCTATGCGCCACTTTTTGGCAATCGGAACCACTGTGCATCGTCTATCGACGAGCGGGCCGAGGTTGCCATATTTCAACCAAAAAGCTCTTGCCGCGAGTAATGAACAAATTAGCAACCTGTATACATAATATTTATAACTGTGATTTAAGTATGGGCACACAAAAGCATATCTTAAAACAAAAGATATACCATAGAAAAGAGCTGATGACACCATGGTTTTGCTGTACAAAAAATATTATCTACTTGAAAACCTGTAACTTTTTACCCTATTTTTGAAACTAAAATAAAATTTAAAGCTGTCTGTTTGACGTGCCATTTTAGTCTACTTTTACGCAGCAGCAAAAAAATTAATCAGGAATCTAAAAAAGATGTTAAAATTATTTTGAACCTTGGCAGTTTCAATGCAGTAATATTATACAAAACTTTATGTTCTTAATTTATAAATTTATTATAATGAAATTTTGTAAATCTGGTAAATGCATTTTCTGTATATGTTAATTGCAATTATATCAGTACCTAGATTACTTACCTTCATTACATATATTTTTCTTAATCAAGTACTAGTTTACTAGTAATGATATTTTTTGTTTTCATTTACCATACGCACTAAAATCCATATTCAAACGTTCTTGGTGAAATGATTGAAATCTAGATCACAATTATTAACGAATTTTTTACTATTGCTAACTATTAATAACCAGAATGTCAACAGTTAATATCAGGTAGGTAGTTCATAACAAAATTAAAGCAAATCTGTAATTAAGTGGAATATAACAACTCATTCGTCAATAAGGTATTAATTTATTATTTATCGAAACAAGTTCAATCGATGCCAGATGTAAATTGAGTTGTAGTATTTTGTTAAATAGTAGATATTTCAGTATTAAATATGACAAGAAAATCGGTCAATAATATTGGTATTAAATTTATTTTTAATTTTGAAGGTTAATTGTAATATATTTATGTCTGGAAAATTAATGTTTATCGATTATGTTTAGAGAGAATAATGAAATGATTACAGATATAAAGAAAACTATTATACAACATGCAAATTAGTAAAAGTTAAAATTCTGGAGGTAAATGTTTTAATGTAGGTAGTTTTCTGGAAAAGATATACAGGACGAGTCTTAAATAATTGTAGATAATTTTAGTGCTGGTAGTTCTCGATAAAAGAAATATGTTTTCTTTTTACCGTTTTTCAAATAAGTCCAAAATAACCGAGTTGTTTTACTTCGAAAATTAGAGAAAAAAATTCGCTGAAATTTTGAGAACCACTGGATTTTTTCTGGGTTTTCTTTCTTGTAAATTTAACCTACTAACTATGTTACCATATTATGATGATATTGTGTTTTTAACTAAAAATTTAAAAAAATCCTAAAAATTTTCCAAAAAATTCTAAATCTTTAAAAAAAATTGCGAAAAAACCTCATCAACGTGGTTTTAGGGTCGAAATATACTAGCCCTAAAAAAATTTGCACTTATTTAAGACTCACCCTATATTGAGCGACCAACAATGATTCGTAGGCAAAGAATAGTTAGTAGGCAAAATACTGTGTAGAAAATTTTAAAGTTCGTGTTTGGTACTGATGCAAATACAAATTATCGATCAAAAAATTACTGTTATATTTGTGAAATCAACATATTTTTCAATGTAAGAAATTTCTATTTTTCAATACTATGATGTTCAACAAAAAGATGGAAAAAAATGTCTATATCTATGTGGCGGATTAATCTTTCCAAAAAAATCCTTTATGGGTATTTCGCCACTGCATTGCAAGAAAATTTACAAAATAAAATAATTATTTTTTGTAAACACTTCTGCGTTAAACCTAAACGGCCGCTGCTTGTCAGAAGTTATGTTTACAGTAATACAAATTTGCCTAACAAAGAAAAAAAAATGCTTAACGTTTCGGATATAACTTAAAATTTAGCGATAAATTTTACATTGGTGAAACATCTAGACCCTTAAATGTTAGAATTAAAGAACATAAAGATTATTTAAGAAAGGGAGATGTTCACAAATCTAAGATTTGTCAGCATTCTTGGGACACAGGGCACAGAATAAATTTTAATAACGCCAAAATTATAATGAAAGAAGCGATAGCCTCTAAAAGAAAAATAAAAGAGGCTTTTTTAATTCAATCTAATAAAAATAAATGTATTGCTCATGCATCTGTAGATGTTAGTAATGTATGGCAATCGCTTCTTTGATTTTAAAGAACAATAGATACAACAAGATAAACAAACGTAACATACGTAAAATTTAAAAATAATCATACAGAAAGTTTGGGGCTTTTTGGTTTTACCTTATTAAGTAATTGTTATCAGGTAGTAATTGTTAATTTTGAAGTTTAAATATTAAGTTAAAAATGTCATTTTAACAGAACGTCAACGGTTTCTTGTAGACGTATCTGTTTTAAAAAAGTAAAATGTTCTCGAATAGTTGAATTTAAATATTTTAAATAGTTTTTTTCTTTATTCTTTGTATTGTTTTGCTTCCGACGACGAAAAGGGATAACTTTCCGAAACGTTAAGCATTTTTTTTCTTTGTTAGTCAAATTTGTATTACTGTAAACATAACTTCTGACAAGCAGCGTCCGTTTAGGTTTAACGCAGAAGTGTTTACAAAAAATAATTATTTCATTTTGTAGATTTTCTAGCAGTGCAGTGGCGAAATACCCATATGGGATTTTTTTGAAAAAAAGATGGAATGAAATTTCCTAAAAACCAAGAATAACAGAATAATCCCGCAATGGATATTCCCAAAATTTACATTACCTTATACAGGGTAATTTTTATGGTGTCGCCAATATCGCAATTAAAAGGCCCAGAGGAAAAACATGATATGCGCCCTATTAAAAGTTATCGAGTATTTGAAACTCGAAAAAGATGGTGGAAAACACCCTTTTACCTGTGTCGGCTGTTTACGATGTAATTGGACAACTACCGAGTTAATATTTTGTAACTAACTCGAAAATATTTACGTGTTTTATAGAGAGCATCGGAGGCTTTAGGAATTTCATGCTCGACTGTGCAAAGAATAAGTTCCAGAGGAATCGTGAAAGATAAAGAACAAAAAGCAGCAAAACAAGTCACAATATTCGTTTGTCCCCTGGAATTCCTGCTTATAACATCCATGAACATATTAATAGAGGACGTATTTATTCATTGTATACACTGCGGGTAAGCTACAATAAATTTGTCATTGTTTAAGGTTTTGTTATTAAATTTGTTATTGTTAGTTTATAACCAGAGATATAAACAACTCATGGACCAAGTCAAGAAATACGTGAAAACCAATATGGCACCGAAAATGATGACGAAAGTTTCAAACTTCGCAAATTAAACAGTACTAATTTTGAAAATATATGTTTATTAGAGTAGCCAAGTAGTAATTTTAGACAAGACTGGATCGAAGACAGAGAGATAGAAGACACAGGAAAAACAGAGAGGAGATATGCCTGACACTCATATTTAACCATTATTCTAAAAAAGTTAAACTTAAACTTCTTAAACATTTTCATCAAACAGTAAAAAATCCTCCATGTTTTTTTTTAAATACAGGGTCGCAAAAATCGAAATACACACAATGTACCTTAAATGAACGGTTTCCGAGTTATTGACTTTTTAACATATCACTTAAACAACTTGATTTAATTCATTTGAATGGCATCATTAAATGAAACTGAACATATCAAAATGAATTAAATCAAATTGTTAAAGTGATATGTTCAAGTCAATAACTCGGAAACGGTTGGTACGTTATTGTGGTACATTATGTATGTGGTATATTATTGATTTTTGCTTAGAATTGAAGAAAGAATTGAAATATGCAATAATTTACAGAGGGTTCTATTTAAAAAAATAAAACTTTGATGTGCCACGACTTAATGATCGACCCTGTATACTTAAATTTATTACTCGCTAATAGAAATTTAAAAATCCTATAACTTTTGTATTTAACTTTTTGCGGTACCTCCTATATTTTACCTAATATTCAACCTTCTCGATACATAACAGCGACCCTGTATATTTTATTAAATGCAGAAAAAATCACTATTATTTTTAATGCATTCTTTTTTTCAAAAAAATCTTTTATTTTCTCCAAAAAAAAACGTTTATAAAATAATTGGATTTTGAAATTTTAAAAATAAGAAAATAAAAAAAAACATTAAAAATAAAATATTAGACGTAGATATAATAAACGAATCACAGTAAGAAAAAGAATGCCGCAAAATCACTACGCACTATATCACTACATCACACTGACATAAGTACTTACCAAAATCTTCATGATTGATAGCACTTTAGTTGGAACTCTACCTCCTAGCACTTAGGACTGTTGAGTTGGTACTGATGCAACGGAGCGACCCCACCCGGTATATATAAAGCCCCCCAATGTTCAGCCACATCTGAAGAGCAAGGTCCCTTTCACTTAAAGATCTTGACAATAACGAAAAATGGAAATCAAAGAAAATTGTCCTTTAAATTTCAGTCAGTCTTTTGTTGCGGCTGAATCGAATTTGAATAATATTTCACCTATGCATTAGATGCCGAAATTTTAGATTTTTTCTTGATTGTATAATGTCAGAGAAAAAATCAATTTGAAATATATCAATTTATCAAGAAACCATACCTATGAAATCATTTGAATATAAGTTTTTGGCTTGCGTCGTGTTTGAATCAAATTTTAAAGTTTTCTTTATCATATTTGCAAATTTTTGTGAAAAGTTTAACAGTAAAAATATTCAAAAAATGTATATACTTATGTAGTGGATTCATCTCTCCAAAAAATACTATATTATGGGTATTTCGCCACTGCAAGAAAATCTAAAAATTAAAATACCTAGTTATTTTTTGTAAACACTTGTGGCGTTAATTCAAACGGAAACTACTTGTCAGAAGTTAGGTTTACAGATATACAAATTTGCCTAGCGAACAAAAAAATGCTTAACGTTTCGGAAAGTTTATCTCTTTCCATCGTCGGAAGCAAAAAAAATACAAAGTATAAAGAAAAAAAAAATATTTAAATTTAACTATTCGAGAACACTTTAGTTTTTTAAAACAGATACTTCTACAAAAACCGTTGACGTTCTGCTAAAATGACATTGTAGTTCAAAAAAAGTTAAACTTCAAAATTAACAATTATTACCTGATAATAATTACTTAATAAGATAAAACCAAAAAGCCCCAAACTTTCTGTATGATTATATTTAATTTTTACGTATTTTATGTTTATTTATGTTATGTTCTTTAAAATCAAAGAAGCGACTGCCATACATTACTAACATCTACAGATGCATGAGCAATACATTTATTTTTATTAGATTTTATTAAAAAAGATTTTTAATTTTTACGTATATTATATTTATTTATGTTATGTTCTTTAAAATCAAAGAAGCGATTGCCATACATTACTAAAGCGGCGTTTACACGATACAAGTTTTGCTTGCGCAAATACTTGATGGCAAGTACTTGCAACTGAACATTTTAAAATTGTATGTTTACACTAGTCAAGTTTGCGCAAGAACTATGGATACCACAGAGATTATTAAATATGGCGTAAATATTTAATGTCGTACGTTAAGTACATATGTAATGATTTGCGTACTTTGTAAGAAAAATCAAAAAGCAAGAGTATGGGTAAAACCATGGATAAATCTAAGGAAAAATTATTTATTCCAAAACGCTTTCAGAGACAGCATCTCTCATATTTTGATTTCTATAGTGTACAATAAGGTGTACACTTCAACGTTCACAAATATTGGTGCTTTTCGGAAATTTAACAACCTCATAATTTGGTCGTCAGACAACCAGCTTGGTGCCATTTTTTCGTGCAACTGCTACTGCAAGAACTTGACAATGTATTTACATGTCAAATTTTCGCTCTGCAAGTCCTAGCGTGCAAAAAAAGTAAACCGTCGATCAACTTTACTTGTAAAGTAATTTTTCTTGTACAATCAGTTGAGCAATTACTTGAAACACAGTTTACATTAAGCAAGTACTTGCAATCAAGTTCTTGCGTAAGCAAAACTTGCTTCGTGTAAACGTAGCTTAACATCTACAGATGCATGAGCAATACATTTATTTTTATTAGATTTTATTAAAAAAGCCTCTTTTATTTCTCTTTTAGAGGCTATCGCCTCTTTCATTATGATTTTGGCGTTATTAAAATTTATTCTGTGCCCTGTGTCCCATGAATGCTGACAAATCTTAGATTTGTGAAAATCTCCCTTTCTTAAATCTTTATTTTCTTTAATTCGTATTAAACTTAATTTTCTTTAATTGTCTTAACATTTTAGGTTCTATTATCGCATTCACATGGTATTTTGTATATTACATTTTTTGTTTGTTGTTCTGTATTCATTGGTTTAGTATATGATAAAATGGATCTAAGTGTATTTTGTGTTTTGAAAGATGTTCGTATGTTATGTTGTTTTCCTATCCTAATTTTTTCCGAAATGCCTCGTATGTATGGAATTGTAAATTGTATATATTGTGTATGGTTATCATTGTGTCTATGATTTGGGGTTTGTATTTCGTTTAATGTTTTGTATGTTTTGTACGCATCCCGCATTTCGACCTCCATATTGCTCGATTTTGCCATTCTTCCTGGGTAATAGCTCTGTCTCTCATGTACTGGTCTACTCCATCTAACCACGTAGTTGTAGGTCTTCCTCTTTTCCTTCTGCTTTGGGGACGATACTCCATTGTCCTTTTTGGCCATCTTTCCCCTCCCATTCTTTTTACGTGCCCATACCATAGTAGCTGTCTCGATTCGATGTTGTCGGTGCTGGTATATATTCGCCTTGTTCTTTGCCTGATCTCCTCATTTCTAATGTGTTCCATCCTTGATATGCGACATGCTCTTCTGAGAAAGTCCATCTCCACTGACTCGACCATCCTTCTTTCTTTTGCTGTAAATTGCCAGCATTCGGCACCGTATGTTAAAATTGGATCTACGATTGCTTTGTAAATCCTTATCTTTGTTTGGATGGATGTTTTATTTGACCTTCTTTCATTATGATTTTGGCGTTATTAAAATTTATTCTCTGCCCTGTGTCCCATGAATGCTGACAAATCTTAGATTTGTGAAAATCTCCCTTTCTTAAATCTTTATTTTCTTTAATTCGTATTAAACTTAATTTTATTTAATTGTCTTAACATTTTAGGTTCTATTATCGCATTCACATGGTATTTTGTATATTACATTTCTTGTTTGTTGTTCTGTATTCATTGGTTTAGTATATGATAAAATGGATCTAAGTGTATTTTGTGTTTTGAAAGATGTTCGTATGTTATGTTGTTTTCCTATCCCAATTTTTTTCGAAATGCCTCGTATGTATGGAATTGTAAATTGTATATATTGTGTATGGTTATCATTGTGTCTATGATTTGGGGTTTGTATTTCGTTTAATGTTTTGTATGTTTTGTATAATAAAATATGCTGGATGGTCGTTTTTTATTAATGTATTTTTTATGTGGTTTATATCTCGGTTTAGTGAAATGTCGCCTGAACATATTATTTTTGCCCTATCATATAAACTTTTTATAACACCTTTTTTTACACTTATACTGTGATTAGATGTAAAATCATAAAAATATTCAGTTTGTGTAAAAATGCCTTAGTAGTTCAATATTTTTTGTATTCAAGTTTTCATAATCAATAAAAATCAATTAATTATTGTTTTTATAAAAAATTTAAGATTTCAATATTTACATTCCTAGGAAATGCTGCCAATTTTCATTTTCATTGACAACACATACAGTATGTCCGCGGATTGGTCTTGACAAGACGAAAAGCTTTTTTATTATTGACATTTTGAGAAAAATGCATTCTTCATAAAAATTATTGCTTGTTCTAAAATGGTTAGCTTCGTCTATGCTTTTCCAAATTTTCCAAAATGTAAATAAATATTTCACTTGATCACATATGTGATTACTCTACATGAACTAAAGTAAATATTTCTTTTAGTGAGTAATATCTACTACTTATAATAATTAAGTGAAGATTAACATATTCACAACATGAATAATATTAATACTTTTTGATAACATCTTAGGTAAAGTGGGAAGATATAACGAATGGTTCAAGTACTTAAATGATTCATAAATAATGCTACTTAGTCTATAAAAATTAAAACATTTTTTTTTTTCATCAACATAATGTAAAATATAATGTATTATATATACCTGTCTATAAATAATAGAAAATAATATTACCTGCACTAGTAAATTTTCTCACACACTGGTACCATGACACGTGTTATTTAATAATGATGTCATTTTATATGTTATGAAAGTTGTTAAATATTTTCCTCCATTGCAACTTATTAGAAACGTGTGTTTTTTCGTATTAGTTCTGATTTCATTACTTTATTTTTTTAAGGTGGAAAATCCGAATATAATATTTCATAAATATATTTTTAAAATATTTTTTTTTTCGAAAAATTTATTAATTTTCTTACTTTAATCATTGAATTTGATAACAATAATTATAAGACATTTTCTTTTTTTTTAATAAGACAACCAGAGCATAACACCTAACTTAATCAATCAAAATTTATAACTATGCAGCTTTTTGTTAGCTATGCGTGTAACAAACAGTGTGATATATTAAGAGTGCTAAAATAGGGCAGTGAAATCAACGCATGACTGAAGATACTCGTAGGTTTCATAGTAAACATATTACAAATGTTCTTAAATTCTTTTTAAATTTAGTAATTGTAAGTAGTTTTTTGTTTAGTTTGTTGTAAAAATTGACAACACGTATATTATTTCGACAAAAATTAATCTTGTCTTCAAATAGTCTTGTCTTTCCAGTTATGCTTTATGCTTCTGAGGCATGAACATTATTGGCAGCCGACAGACGACGCATTGACGTCATTGAGATGTGGTGCTGGAGGAGGATGGAGCGAATACCATAGACAGCACTGAAATCCAATTACCACAAAGACTTTAGCACTTTCTATAAATGGATTCATTCTTTCTTCGGTCACGTCAACAGGAGCGGGCATATGGAGAGACTTATAGTGCAGGGAAGACCTGCAAGATCCTGTTGCCGAGGAAGATCGCCAACCAGGTGGGTGGATATGGTTGAAAAACTTACGGATACCAACCTGGAGGGTGCCGTTCGAAGAACAGAGAACAGGAAAAATTGGAGAAGGGCGGTGCTTGCGGCCATCAGGTCCTTAGAGTCAGAATCAGAGCCATTACACGTCGTACGCGACGTACGGGCTTATTTTTTACGACATTATTTCACCAAAAGTAAGTACATTTTAGTAATTCTGGAAAATGTATTCAACTAAAATAGTTCACAGATCTGTTCTCTTCTGTTTGGTGTAGAGTATGTGGATTCCAAAAAATGACAGCTCTTACTATTACACAGCTCTTCT